GGCAAGCTTGTCAGTGCGCTTCAAGGATCAAATTGCTTGATGACGAGTAAAGGGTTCAAAGCTCCGCGTGGTTGTTACTTATCTGATCCTGTATGGGGTTGTATTCTTGAGGTATTCAATATTTCCCCTGTGATTGATCATAATTTCTATGGGAACAAGATTATGACTTACAAGGATGAGCTGAAGAGAACGGGAGTGGTGGTTGATTTTGAGGATGCAATCGAAGCATTTGGTGCAGTTTTCAAGCTAAAGGCATCTCAAGCTTCCCTTACCAAGCAGCATGTGGAGTCATTTCTCTTCTGCTACAGACACCTGAAGGAAGCTCAATATGCATTTCCTTCAAGTTTTTTGGCAATTTTAAGAACTGTCGAGTGGTTGCGGACTCGCCTTGGTGCTCATAAGCCTCCCAAAGATTGCATTTTGTTTGGTCCAGCATGGGAATCTCTCTCTGCAATTACTCGTCTCCCTTTCATTGATGATAGCGATAATTTTTATGGCAAGGGCATCTCTGAGTATAAGGAAGAATTGAAAAGCATGGGAGTTGCTATTGAAGTGAAAGATGGACTGAAGCTAATCTCTGCTGGTCTAAGGTTTCCTTCTGATCCTTCCTCCATAACTCCTGAAAATGTGTTTTCTTTGCTGGAATGTATTCGCTTAATGCAAGAGCGTCCTCAATCCTTTGATGACTTTGGAGAACAGTTGTCAAGAAAATGGTTGAAGACCCAAGTTGGCTATGAAACTCCAAAAAGATGTTTGTTGTTTGATTCTCAGTGGAAATTGGAGCCAATGGATGGACCCTTCATTGATGAGACTTTTTACGGATCAAAAATTACATCTTACAAAAAGGAACTCATTGCAATAGGGGTTATTTCTAGTTGTCACGAAGGGCTCTCAGTAATGGCTGGTTACCTTAGCTACCATTCCAATTTTTCCACCATAGTGCGGATTTACAAGTATTTGAGTAAATATGATTGGATGCCAGAGGAAGAAACTGATAAACGGAAGATGATTTGGATTCCAGATGGAGATCAGAATGGAGAATTTGTCAATCCTGAAGACTGTGTCATCCATGACAAGGATAATCTTTTTAGTTCAAAGTTTTATGTTTTGGAGAGATACTATGAAAAGGATTTGCTTCCTTTTTTCTCCTCAGCTTTGCGCGTGAGAAGCAATCCTCAGGTTGATGACTACATAGAGCTTTGGAAGGAATGGGAGAATTCAGTTGAACAATTTTCACATTATAAATGCTGTAAGTTCTGGAGTTTTATCTTGAAGCACAACACTAAGAAGACAAAGGAAAAGCTTTTTGAGAACTTGAAGAAACTTCCTGTTACATCAGACTCTAGTGGAATACTTTTGTCTAACAAGTCTCATGTTTTTGTTGCTGATAACCTTTATATGAAGAATCTTTTTGAGGATGAGAGAGTATTTGTTTGGTATCCTCAGCCAAGCTTGCCATCGTTGGACAGGTTTGTATTATTGGACATCTACAAGGAAATTGGTGTTTGCCCTATATCTAAATCTGTGCAAAAAGAAGAATCATTCCGACTAGATGGTGTGGAACTCAATGAGGTAGAGCCAAGGATTGTTTTCATTGGAAAGAGTTTGGTCAAGCTTATTCTTGGTTTTCTTGCTTGTTCTAGTCTCAAAATGGAAGAAGAGAAGAGGCATGAAGCTGTTCGAGGTCTTCTTGACCTTAAAGTATATGAGATGACTGGGCCAATCACGGTAAACTATAGTTTGTCACTATCATCAGGGAGGACCATTACTAGGGAGGCGAACAAGATGATGCGTTGGGAAAATTCAGAACTTATCATCCAGAAGCTGGACTTGAAATCTGGAAATGCAAGCATGATCAAATATGCCACTTATTTCTCGGAAATGATCTCTGCAGGCATACTGTGTGAGCATGTTGATCATGTAGGGGCACTCTCTGAGCTGATCAAGTTGGGATTTCTGCTCAAGTTCGATGAGGAAGCAGTTAACTTCTTGATGGAGTCCAAGGATTTGCAAATTTTTTTGGAAGATGAGGAATTCCTCAATGCTGCCTTTCCGTCCAAGCAAGCTTGCTGGGAATAGTTTCTGCCATGTTTGTTCCTTCTTGAGTCTGTAGCAAAGATCACTGTTATTTGAGTTTGATAATTTAAGATTTCTCATGTTTGTCCTTGTATGCGTTTACATGTTCAGATATAATATTAAGTGTTGCAATGTAAGACTTGGATGAGTTACTTTTAAATCAATTCGATGATTGTAAATGTGTTCGAACTTCAAAGTGAATTGTTATAGCTGCAGGTTGAGTCTTTGAAGCGAACAAGAGGAATTGACTTATGTGATTGAACAATATTGTGTAGAGTAAATCGATTTAACATTTGAAAACGTAATATGCATTACATGAGGAGTAAAGACAAGCTACTTATGTTGTATGTATTATTGATACTGGCATGCTCCCTAATAATCCTCCTGATGAGGGGAACTCGGGAACAAAATGAAATATTGAGTATAGGTTGGCTGTCTTCATTCTTTCTAACATCTATACAATGTCACTGTCATTTCATTGCTTTCGCAGCAACAAGACGATTTCTGTCAGCCCCAGTGCATGAGCAACTCGCGTATAATGATTTAACAACGAGTATATTCTTCACATCCCGGAATTTCTTCTTTCTGTTTGTTCTTCTCTTGGTAGTTGATTGTGTTTCAGCGCACTGAACCAAGAAATCAGAAGAGAAATGTGAGGGAAAATATCTTGAAGCATATTGTTATGCATGCAATCATTGTTCCATTTGGGGAGATAGATAGATAGATAGATAGATAGATAAAATTAAAAGGGAAATAAGTTGAAACTGCCCACCTCGTTGAAGATTTTTGAGTTCTGTGATGATGCAGCACTACGTATACTGTCAACACTCGGTGTCTTGACGTGCCCAGAAGCAGGGCTTTGCACGCTCTCAACACTGCTTGATTTCTGGTGAGTGGCCATTTCTTGGCTCTTATCTGCATTTATTTAACACGAGATTTTGTTTGGATCTGCAGAAAAGCGTGTTATGGTAAATTTTATTTGAATTTGCAGAAAACACTCACTCTCGGCCTTGTCATTCTGGGGAGGAAGGCAATAAATTCTAAAGCTCGGGGAACCCGGACAAACGAGTCTGCCAAAATCAAAATCATCAACATCATTGTTTTTCTCATCTGCCAGCTCATGTTCATTCTCTGCTTGTGCTTCTCGAGTATCTTTGTCGTGTTCGGCATCTATCTCTTTTTCATGGGGTGTTTGTTTTGTGGTGTTGTTGCCATTGTGATCGTCTGATTCTGTGGAAGTTTCATATTCTGTGTCTGAGTCAGGTAACGGGACCACTTTGTTGGTGGGTTCAACCTTCGTCGGAGAAGTTATCGGCGGCTTGTACACTGCTTCAGCTTCATCGGAAGAGTTAGAGTTAATATCTTCATCCTCCTTCAGCAGCTTCTTCTTGGAGAGGGTGCTTTCTCTTTGCATGGCGGCTGCCGGTCTCTGTTTGTGTTTCGTAATTTCCTCATAACGACGGAAAAAGAGGGGGCGAGTTTTTTCAGGCATGGCCTCTTCAACAGAATTCATCCTCGAACTGCCACACCCCATTGTAGGAAAAAGAAGAAGAACAAGATGATGATGATGATGAAGAGGTTGGGCGCAGAGTATTATTCTGCTGCAACTCTCAAGGGACTTGAAGATTTGTTGATGAGAATGGGAGCAACATAATGGAGAAATATATAGAGGCGGTGTTGGGCGGGTACAGACTGTGTTTACAGGTAATGGTGGATAATCATAGACAAGGGATTATGATTTCATCTGGATTAATATTAGATTAATTAATTAAGTATACTCAATTTGCCATTTTCGAGAACATAAAGAATTTTTTTTTTTTTTTTTTGGCGCTGGTAACGAATTTCTTCGTTATTGATGGAAGGCGTCAATTTGGTTGGGATATAATGTGGAAATGTGAAATGGCTTTGCCTTGTCCGTATGACCGTACGTAACATCCTACAACGTTTTCGGCGCCAATGAAATGGTAATTAAAGATTGAAGCAACGAATTCTGTTACTTTTTGGTCCACGTCATTTGAAATAGAATCACATAATTACTCTTTCTGTTTTTTGGGCCAAGCGGATTGACACGTCACTAAGATTCACAGACCACAACTTCCATGTAGGCCCATAAGATTAAAGAGGCCTCGATGGCCCATCAAAATTTTTTCATTTGGGCCTGCAAGTGGAAAATATGAATCATTGACACTAGTTACGATCCAAATTAGGAATACGTGTAAATTTTGATATGTTATTTTAGTTAAATTTTATCAGGCTGGTTTCAGAAAATTTCTTCATTAATTCTGCTGACTCTTAAAAACAAAAAACGGCAAGAAGAAGAAGAGAATATCTTAAAAGCCTGCCTATAGAGATCGAATTTCAATTTCGATTAACTTAAACTATTAAACAAATGTCGAAAATCAAAACACAGCCTAGAAAAATTCACGGGATAGCTATACCTATGCGCGCGCGCGCGCGCGCGCGTCTTTATCGCGCAAGCATTAATTTGCTGATAATCTAATATACTGTGTTAAAAACGTAAAAATTTCAATACACTTTAGGTTCCATCTACTACCACCTAATTTAGTTTCATTTTCATGACTTTTTTTCTTTTTTCCCTTTACTGTTTTTCTTTTTCGCCAGAAAAGAGCCAATTTTATTAATTTCTCTTTACTGTTTTGAAAATCGGAAAAATCAAGTCAATGGGGCAACATAAATTGAGTCCACAGGGAAATTATAATGAGGAGGATTTTACAGAAATAGTTTCGTATCAAACAAACGAGAAGAGGAAGATCATGTTATTATAAATGAACCTCATCAGATCCAAATGGCTCCTCATTGTGTCGATAAGGAAGAAATTAGAGTGGGCGGAAAAATTTAAGTTCAGGCATTTGATCCTTACACCGACACATGTATAAATTAATTGAAGGGGTTCAATCTTATAATTAATGTTCAAAAGTCAAGATTATAGTACTACAGGCACTTGTTTCTTCATGATCTGCTACGCGTGAAACCACCTCTGTGATGTCGCTTGAACTGGAACAAGACGATGACGGGTCAGAATAATGGAGTTCCCTCGTAAAATAAAACAATCTTCTTTCCCCCACCTCACTACCTTCGCTTCTCGTCTTCATGCTTATCCGACACAGAACCCAATCTCCCACCTCGCTCCCATGATTCTGCAAATACTTGCTCTTTAGTTCTTTGCCAACATATTGCTGACATTGCATTATAGTTGATTAACCCTAAAGGATCAGAATTTACATACCAAGTGTGTTGAGTTGTGACCACTGGTTTCTGCAATGACAAGCGATATTCGTGCATCACCCAGTTAGTTCTGAAGCCGTTTGGAGTCTTCCCTTCGTAAAAAACTAAGGTTTTTCTTACCCCAGAAAAACTGCAATTATTATTTTTATTATTATTGGTTGGGGATGATATTTTCTTCTCTGAACCGGTTGCCTTCCAATGCCCAGGCTTGGTGTTTCGGTTCATGCGATTACCATTTCTGTATTTCGCTTCTTTGTAACTGAAGAAGTACCTCTCTTGCTCTTCACAGTTACCTACATTTATACATGAACCAAATTATTAATGCAGATGCAGTAGAAGCATAAATACATACATACATTATGTATGATTATATTCCTCTTGAATAAGTAAAGGTCTTTATGGTTGAGTCACCTGGCAAATCCCAAGGATCGTAGTTGCAGACATTGATTTCAGGAATGATTGATGTAGGCAGTGGACATGAAAGAACCTTGCATTTCAAGTACTGAAACACGAGCTCTTCATCTGTTGGCTGGAACCTAAATCCAGGAGGCAATCTGCAAACTCCATTCTTCACAAAGTTCATCCTTTCCATTCTCTTCGACTATTCAATTTACCTCTCACAGTTCTCTTCAGACTTAAATTCCTCGGGCTCTTGTTCGCCCCAAAAACAAAAGGCAAAAAAATTAAAAAAAACTGGAGAATGACTGACTCACAATGAGGTTGAAGCTAATGGTTGAAGGAGACCAGACCAATATATATACATATAAAGTGGGGGCAGGGCTGTACTTAACAGACTAAGTTTGAAATTATTTTAAACAAGGATGTAATCAATAGTCTAACATCTTTTACCTTGCCTATTGTTTGTTATGTCTCAGCTTTTTATGTCATCATAAAGTGATCATTCAAAACGTGAAGCTTATTTATTTATTTTATTTGAAATATCTCCTGAGATTCTATTGGCCCCTCAATCTTGAGCTCACGAGTATTGAAATTTCATTGGGACGTGCGTTTAATTACTATTTTAAAATTGAGGGCCTTGTACACTAACAATTTCCCAATTTGATGTTCATTGCTGTTCCTTCATCTAATATTGGGTACGTTACTGATTAATTTCAACTTCTGGGGTTGTTGAATGATTGAAATTTCCTGTCTGAAATTTAAATGATCATTTTCCTTCCCCCCCCCCCTCTTAATAAGTTATATCCTTTATGATGATGGATGTCATATGTGATGTCATGCTTTCCTAATCTATATCTCTGATCTTGTTGGAAAATTACATTCACCTCATGATTGGTCTATTTTACCCCTCTATTGCTTTCTCAGGTCTCAGCTTTTAGAAATATCCCGATCCACTGGACTGTGATGTAACACATATCTCTTTGATATGATAAACCAACAAGGGTACACTAAACTAAAATCAGAGAAGCTGCTGTTGACGAAGCACGTGGAGGAAAAAGCAGTGGTTTTTCCTTGATTCATAGTTGAAGCGGTATTTCATCTGACTTGCGAGATATCCTTGAATTATCTGGCTTTTGATTATTATTATTATTATTATTATCAGGCCATGCTTTAAAGATTTCTGTGCTATTCTTGTGGGAGAAATAATGTTAGTTAAGTAGAATGAAAGGGTAGATTTCAGTGCAAAATCCTCTGTTGAGTGACAAGGATGGAATATGTTCCTTGAAAATAGTGTTGGATGACATGGCCTGAGAGAAAGTGCTCATGCGCCTGATTTTATAATTGGGAAAAATAGAGCAGATTAAGCATTTTGGCGAGACATAAGAGATTCCCAGAATAACTTCCCCTGAAATGCACGCATTAATTTGATGAACGGAAACTGAAGAGTGCGAAAACGATCCATGTACATTGAGGAATGGGTTTGCTTAACGTTCATGAAATGCGAATTTTTTGGTTGAAGGTGTAATAAGTCAGCTTTGCCAGGCTGTGCATTGTCTATTGGATGACAGAGAAAAAGTTAGTTGCTATCAATTATCATGTATATTTCAGATGAAAAGCATGATAAAACTGACTTTTCATTTCATTCATGAACTCTCCTTGAAATTCACATCATATGCATAGCATCACTTGTAACTGAGCAAATGGAGATTTCTATCTGCTTAACATTATATCTATTATCTAAGCATTTGATCCTGATACTGACTCTACTCTTAGGCAACCTTAATTAGAACAACTCAACAGTTAATTTTGTTTTCACAGTAAAAGGTTTTCTTAATCCATTGTAAGTATTCTGTGGGGAAGCTTATGGGAAGGATATGTTACTTTTAATTTCAGTATTTGGTCCTTAGTGGATGGATGAATCATACAGCAGCACTTTATGTCAACAGCTATTGTTTTCAAAGAAGAAAAAAAGTTCTTTTTTCTTCTCCACTGTTTATTAGGCCGAGTTTCTTATTCTTTAAATTGTTTATGATTTAGCATTGGAAGAAATGGATTTGAGGGGAAAAAAAGAATAGAAAAGTTCAAAAGTGGAAGCAGAAAGGAGTGGTACTTTCCTTGCCTGAGAAGGTGTTTTTGTGTATTAGGTGAGAAAGAGTCAAATTGATTGGGAACAAAATTCAAAGGAGAAAGAAAATGATAAGAAGAGAATGGTGGATTTTGAATTGAATGTCTTTGCTTAAGATAGCAGCAATGAGAGAACATGGGGGGTCTCATCTCTGCTTCATGCTTTTGCTTTTATAGACATAATAATAATACTAATAACAATAATTTATCAAGGCTTCATAAATACATGCATCACAAAGTGGGGTGTAGTGAGTGTGCTTTGTTTACCAACGCTAACACCTCCAAAAGAAACAAAAGCAACTTACTCTTAGCTCATAAGAAACTCCCCCCCCCCCCCAACCACATTTTCATTGAGTTCTTCTATGGACAGTTTTCACTCTCCATTACCAATTATCAAAAGTGATTGGGATCAAGTAAAATAAATTCAATTCCTGAAGCAATATCAAAGGTTACCTTGTAAATTAAAAATTTATATGCTGAAAGAATTGCTCCCATTTATGCCTGATAATATTTAAATATAAATTAATTACTGGCACCAGATAGGAAGATACCATATAGTCATTATTAAAAAAAATATATGATATTAGACTCTCTTATAAATCATTTACTGGAAGGGTAGAATTTTTAACCGTGCAATTGATTTTACGTCTTCTAAATTTTTTGGATAATTTCTTTGTATTGATTAAATAAGAATGTATGCTATTTTATTTTTAACATAAAAAATACGATTTACTTGTATTCAAACCTAAATGAGAATTTGCGATATGAATGTTAAAACATAATAAAAACTACCTTGAAAAAATAAAATAAATCAAAACATTCTTGTAAACAGTATTTGATGTTGATTACATTGTTATGATATAATATTTACCTGATAATTTTGAAATTGAATATCAACCACTGTCAAATCCATCGTTCAAAAATGTGTTAATTTTTGGCAATCTCATTTCATCTATCCAATTAAAATTAAAACTATTGTTAATAACGGGATAGGCAAACGGATTCGAAGTTGGGACATCTGCGAAATCAGGCTGCTGCAGTGTTGAATTGTAATAGGTGGGCCTTAATTGACTATGGTATTATTTTAGCTCATTAATTTGTGAAATTATGTTAGTTAACATGTTTGTCAGGTTTAGTGCCCACTATATCTCAAATAGGGTTATTCTCAATAAAAAAAATATTTCATTATCAATCTAAGGCTTAACATTACTTAAGCATATTGCATGCCAAGTCATGTTTGTATTTTACTCTTAAACACGATAATCCAATGGAGTAAGTGAAAATTATTTTATTTTCAAGTATTTGCTCAACAAATTAATTGTAAAATGGAGAAATTAAATGAGATCAATAAGAAGAAAAACTCATCCAAGCTAAAGGTATGTTTGCTTTGGTTTGGAGAAAAGGAGAGCGAGGGAGGGATTTTGTTCTCATCCCCTTATTTGGGTTGTAAAAATGAAAGGGATGAAAGGAAATTTTTTTTAAAATTGCCCCTCTTCTCCAAGCCCTTCCCTCTAAAAATGGAGAGATCAAGAGGGGAGGAATATAATTTTGTCATATTAAAACTATTATACCTCCACTATGATTTGATAATCCAAAAATGCCCTTTCTCTTTGCTCCTCTTACTTTGCACTGCCATTATTACTCCTTCTATTTAGATCATCAATTGCATTGGAGGTTAGATTTTTTTGTTAAGACTCCCTCCTTTCATTTTATTTTTACTATTTTTCTATTATATGTTAATGAACTTATTGCTTGTTCATATTTTTGTTTTATAAACCATGAATAAATTATTATTGAATGTATTATTGACAATATATGTATATATATGAACTATGGATACTTATATACTTATAATTATATATTAAAAACATTAATAACTATATTTTATAAGGGAAAAACTATTTTATTAAGATAAGGGTAAAATTATTTATACATGCGCGCGCATATATATATATATATATTTATTTATTTATTTATTTATTTTCCCTTTCTTCTTTTCACCCATCAAATAAGGTATCATCCCTCCTTTCTCCTCCCCTCAAACTAAACAAGTAGATAAAACCATCATTGAAACTCAATTAAACATTAAACAAAATTTTTATAAATATATAAGGAAGAACCAGTTGATTGATTGGTAGATTGCATTTAGCTTGCAAGTAGACTATAAACTCGTTCCTCTTTTATTTATTTTAAAAAAAAAAATACATACATTTGTAAATTGCCTTGATTCTATGAAGCTGCTTTTGTTGATTCGCCGGCTTGAGGCAGTCCGTCAAGAACTTGAGGAGCAATGTCCTCCATTCTGCTTCTTCCTTCCCAATGAGAACGTATTAGATATGAAGCATCATGCCCCTCCACACCTTGTCTGGGAATAGGTATGCTCAAATCCAGGGCCACGTCAGCCAATCCATTATCCTTGCTAAGTTCCTCATCGTCGTCAAGTCCACCTTTATATTCATTTTCTTCTTCATCGCTCTCACTGTAGGCTTCCCTTCTCCCTAATTCCAAGTCACCCATCGTTTTTCTCATTACGGGACTCACGGGCCCATTACCACCTCTTGACTTAGGTGATGTATCCTTTGGAACCTTGGACCTGAAATTGTTCTTTGACGGAGGAATACTAGAGCAGAATATTTCTTTCAAGTTCTCGACTATTCCTTTGTTAAATGGGTTGACGTGCTGACTATCATAACGGTATCTAAAATTTTCATATGTGGACTGCACATAAAAACAGAATGAATAGTTACTAACATTTTGTATCACCAAAAAAAAAAAAAAAGTGTTGCTAACATTTTGAATCAGGACTGAATGCTAGCTAACATAGGCAAGATAAAAGACAACCAGGAATGGGGCAAGGTCAGATATCAAGGTTTTGAGCGACCATGAGTCGAAAGGCATTCAAACCTGGTTTGTGCTGGTGAGATACGAATGGAAAGCAGTAAGGCCACCGACAAACCAGACACAGATGAACGAGTAGATTATAAGTGCTATAGAAGCAGGAGTTTTGATCATTGCTTTCCAGATTGAAATCTCTTCAGAGTCCATGATCCTCCTGATGTAGACCCAGCAAAAGCCATGTATATATAAGCAAAGCAAAGTTGCAGACGAGACAAACATGAAGTAGAACCTGTAATTTCGCTGCAGCCATGTACATAGAAGCATTTATGCAAAAAGAAAACATCAACCTAGCAATTTCATGACCATATAAGCTATTAAAATAACTGCTAATTAATTATACATGTTATCGAGCCTGTGCCATTGTGAGAGCAGAAATACGAATGTACATGAAATATTTTTGGCTAAAGTTGTTTGTCCCAATGGGGAAAAGAAGCACGTTTTATCTAAATTAGAATAGTGAGACAGAAGACTGGTGAATAAATTATGTGTATAATTTACCTTCTAAATTAGAATAGAACCATATAAAGAGTCCAGACAAAGTTCATTAAATACTTATACTATCACTTTAAAGCTGGGGAAAGAATGAACATTACCAACCCAATGCACTGACCCACCCAAGGGCAGTGATGATCAAATCGCTCTACACAGTTATCACAGACCGAACAATGAGAACAGCGGGGAGGCCTATATAGCAGGCAGGTATCGCAATATTTGACCTTCACAGTTATACAATTATATCCTTTGTCCGTGGCAAACTCAGCCGGGGATTTTGTCCATTGTTGATTCTAGAACTCCCATCATCATCGCCTAGCTCTGGAGGATGAGCATTACGGGGTACTATGCCAGGATCTCTTCCTGAGGTCAGCAGAAGGACGATCAGAACCTGGGGATATATACATTTTAAGATTTGAGAGTACAGAGATAAATGAAAAACAGTGCAGTAACAGATCTGGAGAAATGTAATGAAAAAGCCAAAAAAAAAAAAATGGTGATTTATGGTTAAGTCTTAAATTTATACTGGAAAGCACCATTTTTTTGTGATTTAAGTAAAAATAACAAAAGACTACTCCCTCTGTTAAAAAATATAAGACATTTTTAACTAAATCTTACCTTTCAGTAAAGTAATTACCTACTTTTAAACTAACCCTATATTTTCATATTTACTCATATTAAACACCCTACAATAAATATAAAGTTATTATCAATGGGAGTACTTTTAGAAAAAAGACAATGATTATACTTCGAAAGATTAAAAATGCCTTATATTTTTTAACATTCCACTCCTCAAAAAATATCTTATATTTTTGAACGGAGGGTACATCTCAAAACTTGTAATGAACTAAAATTTATGAATCATGATAGTTTGTACAACCATGACTAGTTCCGCTGTGACAAGCAAGGGTTTATATTTTGTTCTGTGGTTTCTCAAAAGAGCCGTAAAAAGATATTATACTTTCTCAAACTATTAAATCAACCAATACATTTTAAAGTGCCAATTGTTGATTTTTCCGACAGCAAAAAAAGTTCACAACTATCACTAGGAATAAGCAACCGTAAAGAGAATGACTGTATATAAAAAGACGGCTAACCGAGGTAGTCTCACCACCCGAGCAAAAAGTTATGATGAAATATAAGAACAGTGGAAATTATTCCAGTGAAAAAGCAGGCGATTCTAACTCTGTGCTCACTAAGATAGCATCGGTCATTTGAGTATAAAAGAAACCATAATGAACCCAGCAAGTTTGAGGGGTGAAAACTGAGAAGGCCACAGAAGGTGCCATCATCAGAACATAATATCAGGATCAGCAGATCAGACCAATTACCAGGGAGATTAAAACAACTTATGGTGTTCTTAATACGTGAATCAGGAACTCAGGAAAGGTCTTAGAGGAAAACATAACTTACAAACACGGTGAGGACAATAACTATGACCATTATTGACCATCCTGAGTGATGAGGAAAATCGTCTAACAGTTTTCTGGCTACAAAAGCACAGAAAGTAGCAACAGGGGCAACAATAAGGAATATCGTTAAAAATATAGATTTTGCATCAGGTCCAAATATTAGCCTCCCCTGAAGAAAAAATACCTGTAAAATAGAACGACAATGAGTTCGAGAACAAAAAGATACACATAATAAAACTTGATCTTTGATTTTTTTAAAAAAATAACGCTTTTATTGTTATGTTCCTTGAAATGTAGATTATCAACACTGAGCAACAGAGAAGCTTGACAAATATTTACTGTCCTGTCCACCACCCTTCTGTTTCCTTATGGCGACAGATCTTACATAAATGATTTTTTTATAACAAAGAAGTAAAATGTGGAACATGGATTTGAGCCATATCAATATATTGATACACCCTGTGCAGCACTCAAACTTATAATTTCATCCTTACCATCAGTATAAAATGAACATAGTCGTTATCCTGCTGATTTCAAAGTGTTGAAGTAAAATCTTGAATAATTCATGCCATCCTCTTTAGTTTAGATTATCATTTATCATTAAAATTATAAATGTGTATATTGTCTCACATCCTTCTTTTAGACCAATATCAATATTCTCCCTTTCTCTCATTCTATCCCTCAGACAATCCAGAATTGTTCAGGAAGTCAATATGTTATCTTAGAACGACCATTAAGAATTTGCATTTGTATATATCAGAGGAGGATGTCAGCAATAATCTCGCTTACAAAGAAGCATAAGCTGCTTTGCCCTTAATCGTTAGCTAATTTAAACGTCAGTTATTTTCACAGGCCGCACAATTGACAACATAATATCGTGCGACTATCAAAGCATCAAAGTTTTCAGAGATGAACAACTAACGTAAACTCAGGGAAACATATCCCTGCTGCTTCAAGGGGAAATTTTCTGTCTAAGGATAACCCAGATATGGGGGGACCTACATGAGCATGAAGTGAGCATCTGTAATAAGCCCCCAAAATAAGGACTGCCATCCCGGGGGTGCCGAAGAAAAAGAAGCAATAATTTAAAAAAAAAAAAATAAAAAAACGGAGCTCCACCACCTACAGAAGATAAAAGAAATAATCCAGACGACGCAACCGTATTCGAATCGTAACTGAGGTGGCAAAAACCGTAGCTTGATTACTAAAAAGTGACCGGCAGATAGAGAAGGAGCAGGGAAGGAAGAAAATTTATTGAGTTTGAAGAAGCATGCAACTCACGTTACTACCCTTCCAGGCGCGGTAAGTTCTAATCATTGATGAGCCACCACTGAATCCGGCGGCGGAAGAGTCCGAAAACACCGGCAGAGGTGGTGGAGGCTGCACTGCTTGCATTATTGTGGGCGAAAACTACAACGAAAACGGAAATCAGAAAACAGAAACACGGCGCACTGGGAATTAAATGGAAGGTCAAAGGAGGGAAGGCGGCTTTTTTTTTTTACTGGAAAATAAATGTAGAAGAATAATTACATAAATCAATATATAAAAGTCACATTTTTTTTTTCAAAAAAAAAGAAGTTTGACTTTGATATCTCGGACTTTTGACGCGGCTTCACCGGAACCGGAAAGTGACACCGGATGGCCGGTCAATGTTCAGAAACTTAAATAAAAAAGGTTAATGGCATGTAATGATTATAATTACCTGACGCCGACGCAAAGACAAACACAGAAGATTAAAAGTAATGGCTCAATGACTGGTTCAATCAGGCAATTCAAATGTCCACTTGCCATTCCGCCGGAGATTTCCGACTTGACTTTTGGGCATCGTTTTATCCTTGGAAAACAATCACTTGACATCCGCAAATTACCAGTCCTCCTGCTAAATATTACGAAAATTATAAGTTTGAGAAGCCTATAAAAATCTTTAGGGTAAAAGGGTAAAGCCAGAACTAATATTTTAAAGTAAAAAAAATATATAAAAATGATCAAATTATAAACTTTAATGTAACACTGTTAACTTTAATTATTAAATACTAATTATACATGTCACGTATTAGCCTTTACTGACATAAACTAATACAGGAGTAAAAATACTTACGAAGTCATTGATCAGGAGTAAAAATACACAAATATTATCATAGTTAGTGCAAATGATCAATCTATTAAATCCCTTAAATGTTAATCGTTTAGCTGATATCTAAGCAAAATTTGACTATTTTTTTACTGATGTAGATCAAAAATATTCTTAAATAAATTTTTACAAATGTCAATTGATTATTATATAAGTATCCGTGCCACATGATTTTTTTTTCCATCATTATGTATCTTGCCTTCTCCCTCCCTCCCTTTCCACTCTTTTTTTTATCTGCAAAATCTGATATTCAACATAGTGAGATTGGTTATACACATTTAAAAGTCAAGACTAAGCACACCTCCTACACTGCGTTACTTTAAAAATATTGTTATAACCTTAAACAATTTTATCCAAGTTAAGTTAAAAATCTTCAAATAGTTTTCACCACTGCTGTAAAAAAAAAACAAGCAATTTAATTTGATATTCAATCAAAACAATATTTTCTCACATGATATTCACATAATGACCTAGTTAATCTCCAGATAATTTCATTTGGGAATCTTCTTGTCCATGTCAACACAAAATAGTCAACTTCTACTTAGGTATTAGTTAAATAGTCAACATTTAATGGATTTGATGAATTGATCATTTTTGCACCAACTCTAACAACATTGTGGATATTTTTACTCCTGGTTGACAACTTTATAAGTATTTTTACTTTAAATCAATAAAGGCTGACGCATGATATGCACAATCAGTATTTAACGGTCAAAGTTGACCTCATTAGGTCAAGGTTAATAGTCTTATCACTTTTGTACCCACTTATATAACTTTATGAGTATTTTTATTATTTTTCTCACTTTAAAATATTGAATGCTCATAACTGATTACTTTTTGAGTATTTTTGTTCCTTCATCAAAATCTTTAATTACATTGAAGTATTGCAATTTATATTTTTTAAAAGATGAGATATGCAGCGAGAAGTAATTTGTAAAATTCATGTTGCCTTTTAGGTTAATAGGTATTTTTGTTGTGACTATTATCTGAAAAGTATTAAAATAATTATAATGTAACATATTTGTTTTTAACATTAAATACTCCAATATTAACATTTTTAAAATGCTAACATCAACTTAAGTTTAATCGAAAATATCACATGTTATGCTAAATAGATTCAAATAATGTATATTTTTGCCCTCAAACTATTATTTAAGGAGTACCCAATGTTTTAAACTATTTACATCATAGCCATTTTATCCCTTAGACAATTAAAACGTAGTAAAAATGTATTTTAACTTGAATTCACTTGTTATGGACAATATTTTACATTTTAATTATTTCATAAGTAAAATTGTTACAATAAATAGTTTAAAATATTATGTGATTATTAGAGAATAGTTTAAAAATAAAAATGTATCTTAACCCTGATTATATCTGTTGTTTTGTTTTTGTTTTTTGTCAAAACTTACCTTTAATTTATTTTTTTTTCCAAAACTCATCTTTTTATTTTATTTTATTGGGGGAAAAAAAGAATTTTTTTTTGGTAGAACGGTTGGCCCAATTCTATAACCCTTTTGAATTTTTGGGTACAATTCTATACTCCTCTTGGGTTTCGGTAAAGATCCAGCAAACGAGGAGAGTGACAAACACGGCCTGAACATGAACAATGAGGCAAACAATTAATTGGGCCTCAATAGAAAGGGCCAGTTCATATGGGCTTTGAAAAGGGGAGATATCATTCTTCATTTCTTTGTCTCACCCGGGACCAGTAATTCCTCCCCGATAGCGCAATCAGGACATGGGGAGGGACTATCATTTTCCTTTCTTTTATTTTATTTTTCATTTTCGTTAATGGATAGAAAAGAAAAGAAGAGACCCTCCCCCCACAAAGACATATCTTTACTGGACTTATAATAAAAATAAATTAATACTTTATTCATATAAAAAAAATTAAGACTTTGTTTGAAATGAAAAAAAAAAACAGCTAGAAGAGAAAATTAGAGTAGAAAAATGGAGGAAAAAATTTTTTTTACCCCTGTTTTTCTTAATTTCTCCATAAAGAAAAGGAAACTCAAAGAAAAAAATTTATGCTAGGGAAAAAAAACTTTACTTTTCTTCCCTAATTTTCTCCACTTTCTGTTTTCATGATCTCACTCCAAAGGGAAGGTTAATAACCGAAAGCATAAAACTCCAGGACATATCAAAATTGGGAAATTAATGAGATTTGGGCCCATGTTTGTACGCAAACCTGACGAAGAATGAAAGGAACATTCTGGAAAGAGACGCGAAAAGGAACGCAAAGGAACCACGCTTATTAAAACACTGTCACACAGATTTTGTGCAATTTGCGTGCTTGTTCATTATAGCAACATGGAAATTAAATACGCGGAATAATAATTTAGTACTGTGAAAGGGTTGAAGGAGGAAGCGTGTGTTGAGTTCATTGTATTTTGTCCTCAATAATGTGCCTCCTGGGGTCAGCCAGATCAGATCTTTTAATAATTCTATCTCCCAATGTGACTCTTTGTTTGGAGCCTTCCCTTGTGCCTAAGTTCACAGCTGCATTTCCAAAATCTCTTCATCCACACGTTCCTTTCTATAACAGCTAAATAAATTATTTTCAGGCCAGAAAAAATGTGATTGACCAACCAAATATTCTGTTGCCATTCCTTGCTCAGTAATTAATCAATCACAGATATTTCCCTTGCTAATTTTGCATGGATTACCATATCTTTTTTTTTTTAATGGATATTGTGCCAATCTGATTTCACATGGCCGAGAGATTGAGCACAGGAGGATTAGAGGAGATGATTAATTGCCTTCATCTAAAGCCAAAGTAATTAATGTAATATATGGTGACAGAAAATTCATTAATGATGCCTTGATAACTTTGATAACAGCCGGAATCCTCTGCCCACCTTCGTGGCAAAATTATTATATATACTACATAAAACATAATACTCTCTTTGTCTTAAATTATAAGACATTTTTAAATAAATTTTTACATGCCAATAAACCTCATTAAATACACTTAACAACCTTTGGCTAAAAAAAAAAAATACACTTAACAACCTTATCTTTATGAAATAAAAATATAAACTTTTTAAAATACTCATCATTTAATATATTAAAAAGAAAAGTGATAGAAATTAATCATAGAGAGAGAAATTATAATATCAAAATTAATGTATTTAGTGAAATCTTAATATATTTAAAGTGTTTTATATTTTGAGATAAAAAAACTTTTTTAAAAGTATTCTATAATTTAAAACAGAGAAAGTACTATATACAATGCAGCGTGCTATCAATTTACTGTAAGTTATATAGTAGCTGTAGCATGCATCGCACGGTGCGTCCTGTTTGTCGATCAAGATGATAATAAGATCCACAATTTTTAAATAAGGATGATTTGTCTGAATAAAATATATAATTTAAGTATATCACGAGAGAAAACATGTCAAATTATTTGTCGTGCAGTTATTAATACTTAATATAACTATCGAGGTTTTACATATCACGTGAAGAACATGCATATTTAAATTTAATTATGTGCGTGCGCGAGAGAGGGCATGTACTTTGAATTGTGGTTGTATGGCAGCGCATGGAATTGAATTATATCAGACATGGTATATAGTAGCCACAACATCTGTATAATTATTCTTTTAAAAATAACAAACATCCCAAGTAATGTTATTGTTTTAAGCGCCTTCATGTCAAACAAAGAAACGTTAATTAACATAAAATTCCTTAGGAAAAAAAAAAGCACTATACCCCTGTACAAAAAAAATAAAATAAAATAGAACACAACACTATGGTTTGGCTTCGGTACTCATCATTGCCATGGGACATGAACAATTCAAATTTACTTTAAACAATTTAGAGAAAAATTTTAGAACAGTAAATTTTAATCAATCATTTTGTTTTTTTCTAAAATGACAATTAGAAAATTATCTTTATTATAATTCAAGCATGCATCCATTAAAAAATTTAAAAAATATAAAAAAAATTACACTTGGGTCATCCAAACTTAACTTGGACGGTGTCCAGATCGATTTTAGTGCTTGTTAGTGACAATGATCATGCTAAAACCAATTCCAATTATACCTTAGCTTTTTTATTATATACAGATGTTGAGGCAATTTTGTTTAGAGCACAATCCAACATTTAACTAAATATATGCACGTTTTTTTAATGAAGATTTGAATTTTAGTTCGTGACCAATGTTATGAGCTAATTAGGTTTAGTTAGAACACATTAACAGTAAATACAAGAAGTGTTTGTAGGTGCGTGACTATATACATATATAATTTGACGGAAGGAATTGAGCGCGTGGGGTAGTCCAAGTGGGATATGAATGTAATTATGACAAGGGAAAGAAGAAGGGTTGAGCGATGGGAGGGGGAGAGAGAGAGAGGGATTTCATTTAAG